AATTATAAAACAGAATTATAATTTAGCTTTGAGCTTACAGACTCCGGTAGATACATAATATATTGACAGTGGAGGTCTGAACTTAAATTTTAAAAGACGTATTTTCATAATTAAATACTTACCACTACCACCACCCCTCATTATACAAAGTTATGATGTAAGTCAAATGTGGTCGAAAGAGCTGCCACGAGGTCAGGTCTTGGTATGTTATTCTGCGTCGCAGTCAAGGGAGTAGGGACCACCCCCTCTGAAAAGTTGACGCAGATGCGTCAAATTTGATCCCATCAGACAGCCTCTGCATGTTGATATTAAACATGAATATAATTAATAGAAAATGAGAGGAAGCACCATAGGGGACTTCAGCCGTACCATTTTTGAACTAAAAATTATAAGTTGATGCTTTATCCCCATACCTTTAAATGATCCAAAATATTCATTGAATTATTATTTTTAGTTATAATCAATATATATTATGTTCATGGTTATAATCACTAACAACTGTAATGTTGCAAGATAAAAGCTTAATTAAATTTAAAAAATCACAATCATATAAAATAATAAATGTATATGTATACAATTTTATTTGAATTAGTATTTACAAAATTAAATTAATTTTTCTTTGAGTTTTTGCAAAATCATTTAAGACCGACTTTTTATAAAACATGAGTATACTCTTGATTTTTCAAAGTATTTATTTTTATATATTATGCACCTACTACGACGTAGGTCATATTTTAATTTTTTCCTTTACAAAAATTACAATAATACGATAAGTCCATGGGGCTGAATTTAAGCCCCAACCAATTTTCGCCTGTGATAGATACTGCTTAATTTTAATAGATAGGTTCCTCGTAGTATTTGTAATTTGTATATCTACAGGAAATACCTAGTGAGTATAAGTAGGTAGGTACGTATTCCAATTTAGATGTATCAATCAGTTCTTCAATAATTTCGTATACAAAAAGTTTTTTATATTTTCAAAACTGACCAAGTTAGAGAAAGTCAAAAATTGGATTTATGGCTTATGCATAATATGTGTTTAATGCAATTTTCATTTATAACCACTGGAATTAATAAAATAAGTGCCAAATTAATGTCTAATGGTGGACGGAGTGGCCGAGCGGACTAAGGCATCGGTTGCGACGCGCACCGTCGCCGGTTCGAACTCGGCCATGGGCGGCATTTTTCTTCTGGCAGTCACGGTGTCCGGAGAGAGAGGCCGACATGGTGACATCCTCGGATGGGCATGGCAGATACCTACGTGTGTGCTTGTTTTGGCAGAATTTTTATGTGGGCACCCTCAGGTATCTGCCATGCCCGGGTGTGGGATGACGACCTCTCTCTCCGGACACCGTTGACTGCCAGAAGAAAAATGTCACCCGTGGCCGAGTTCGAACCGGCGACGGTGCGCGTTGCAACACGACGCCTTAGTCCGCTCGGCCACTCCGTCCACCATTAAACATTAATTTGACACTTATTTTTTTATTTCAAGTGGTTATAAATGCAAATTGCATTAAACACATAATATTATGCATAAATACAATTTTTGACTTACTCTAACTTGGTCAGTTTTGAAAATAGAAAAAAACTTTTTATACAATAAATGTTTAAAAAAAAATACTCTACCCGAATCTGCATAAAAAACTGTGGTTGCCATTAAAAAAAAAGTAAGTTGTACTGCGCATGCGCGTACCCAGTGAGCTAAAAATTTGAAACTGGTCTGAAAATATGTATTTAAGCGCTCACGAAAACCTCATTTCAATACAAAGTCACCCATCTGAGATATTCAGTGGTACCTAATATCGTGATCACACTGTATACCTAGGTAATGTCGAAACAAAAAAGTTACATAACTGCCGATTTTATACTTTATGGTTAATTCAATAACAATAAAAACCAAAAATGTACCTACTATATTTTAAAGACATACGAGTTCCTAACTTAACAATACCTACTTATCAATTGACAATTCATGTTATTATAAATAATAATTGTAAGAATAATTAATTATGCTCTGAACAAAATAAAATATTATATTTATGTATAGTTATTATAGTGTAATACACGGACTAAGATAGATCTTAGTCCGTGGTGTAATAGGTCTTATCGACATCAATTTTATTGAAATCGGTCAAGTAGTTTCTGAGATAAGCCGTTAGCACTTACTTCTTTTCTATGCACTTAGCAGTCATCGCGATTTAAGATATTATATCTTACATCGTTGGGTTCATTATGGTAGGTTAACGCGTAATGTCGTTTTCCCTCAATACCAAAAACATTTTCTGAAAGGGAAGGAGTATATAGATTGTTTACCAGTGCAGGGCTTACAGTGGGAACAGTGGAGGTTTTTAGGTGGGCAAAGGGCACCCCAACCCCCCTTGGATTTTTAATTATTATTGCTAATTATTAGCCTACTCGTAACCTTAAGCGGGTCGGTAATTATGCTTTCGTCTCCAGACCATCAATCCATTCTATCATAGTCCGCGATCACCACGATTTAAGATATACCATAAAGATATATCATAAATCGTGGTGATCAGTGATCACGACTGACGACTATTATTATTTTTGTCTTATTTGTTAAAGAATAAAGTCACTAGTCCTAAATATATAATATTTATTATCTTTTATCATGCTGTGTCCATGGATAATAAATTCTTTATTATCAATTTTTTTTTTAAAAAAATGACGTGTCTGTCCCTCTCACTCAAGGGTAGCCATCGTATACTAAGGTGGCACTACTGTTTATCTTTAGTATTTTACTATTATCACTTTAGAATTTTTTATCAAAGAGTTACTGTTTTAGATTTCGATAGTCGAACCCGACTGTTTTGACAGTGTCCAGTGCCTACTGGAATTACAAAAAATTTACTGGAGTTAAACCAAAACCATCATGACGAGGTAATACAATTAGTATATATATTTGATTTTATACAATTAAATAAAATTAACATTTTAATCAATCCTATTTAAAGTTATCCAAGTTATAATTGAAATTGTCATCTTAAATACCTATCTGTTGTTTAATTTATTATTTAGTTTGATACAGTTAAATTGCGAACAATATCAAATAAACTTAAAAAAAATAATTTGTCAAGTTCAAATCTGGTTGTTGAATTCGAAAAAAAAAATGTTAGTCTTTTATAATTTGATAATAAACATTAAATTATGTTCCATAAGTCATAATAGATATTATTATATTGATAGTAGGTACCTTTATATTTTTTTTTTTTTTTTAACAATGGTGGCGCACAGATACCTTAACTTTGTATTTACATAAAACATAAATAATTCTTACATCTAATCTAATAGATTTTAATATTCAATTTTTAAAAGTGCTTCTTTGAACAGGTGAATACCCAGGATTTTATTTTGTACATTATATGTCCTGATGAATTATTGATTGAACTTTTAAACGTCTATAGGTTATGATGATTGATAGTATTCAAAAATAGTTGTTAAAGATAACTTTCTGCTTATTAACATGAACCTTCCCTTTTTAACACATGATTCGGTTTAGTTAGGGAAATGTAATTTGTTGAGTAACTCAACTATGATAATGTTTAGCTGGTTTTTTGAAAGATTTATACAATCAAGAATTTTTGCTGCATTCAAATCATGTGTTCATCAATTTTAAACAAAGATCATTAGATTGTAAAATGTATACATTTATATTACAATATACTTCTTTGAAGGTTACTTGTACTAAGTTACTAACTATGTGACTAATTTTTTAGAGCCAAGTTGGAATTGGGCGAAATTACTCATCATAACATTAAACAACTCAAACGATTAACTACTGTGTCTTTCCTGTGTCATATAATGAGAAGTTTTATAAAGATGTCCTAGAAGCTGGAGAATTAGCTAAATTAGGTATGTACCTTACTTAATCACTATAACTTTTGCTATGTATTTATGTAATTCTGTATATATATTTAGCATACTATAATGATATTGTCGTCGGAGCTGTATGTTGTCGAATAGACCAAGAAGTTGGTCGTCGACTTTATATAATGACTTTAGGGTGCTTGTCACAGTATAGAAGACTTGGTATAGGACGTATGATGTTGAACATGTTTTAAACTATGTTGAAAGTGATGGTACATTTGATAGTGTTTATTTGTAAGTATATTTAGTATAAAACTAAAAGCATTGTATTTTTAAATTATAATTTTTATTTTTGTAGACATGTCCAATTGAATAATGACAGGCCATAAGTTTACAAAAAATTTGGATTTGAGATAGTGAAATAAGAGCATTATTATAAGAGGATAGAACCAGCAGATGCTTATGTGCGGAGAGGAAAAAACGTCTACGACCTAACACTATAAATGGGAAAAATGAAAATCATTCAAATAACTTCAAAAAAGATTAAACACTGATTAGCTTTCTTAATTGTTTATTGTATTAATACATTATAATAATAGAACACATACTGTAAATATACATACAGTAAAAAATAAACACACATAAAAAAATTGTCTTGTTGATAAAGTACTTTTAAGATAAAATAGTTTTGAAACTATAGTATCCCATGGTATTTTAGGAGGACGCCACACATGTGTTTCTTGTCTCCGTATTACAAACGTGTGACTATAATTTAAAAATTAAAATATTGTGAAAACACATATCGTGTTGTTACTCACAAGTTTAATGGTATTCAATTCACTTTATTACTTAGCATTACTACACAAAATTGGAACTACTGAACACAAATTTGCCATGTTGTAAGGCGGAGACAACATATTAGGCTTTCTATACTTTTAAATGTTAGCATTATAGTACTATACATCTGTTAATATTTAATATCATACATTCATACAAAATATTATAATTTAGAATTATATCTTTACGATTTTAAATATTTTACACATTGATAGTAATAGCATTGATTATAAATACTCAATTATTTATAATCAATGGTAATAGTAAGTACAGCATTTAGAACACAAGTATAATTCATAAAATTATTTTATATGAGATGAGATTCAAAAAGAGTACTAACATTCACATATTTCAATTTCTTTAAATAAATCTGCGATACGTTGAGCACACAATACTGATCCATCGTGAGCTTCTTTGCAGGTCTATTAAAAATACAATCACAATAAGTATGTAAAATATTAAATAAGTAATAAATATCAAATTACAATAGCCAAATTTAAAAAACCATGAGGTAATCCTTTTAGAATATCCATATTCACTTTTTTCCCAAGTTCTTTTAACCGTTTAGCAAACATAACGCAATCATCTAAGCATGGATCCATGTGTACTGTCTGAAATAAAGTAAATAATGAAACTTATTTAAAAACGTGTTCAATTACTGTGGACGGTAATTTTAAACCAAATTCAAATATTGTACAATAAAGATTATTTGAAGCTTTTTTTATCAGTTATTAGTAATATTATAATGTTAGACTTAACAATGGACAAATAATAATTTTTTCAGTAGTAATTTAATTTTTTTAAACTGAATGAATCATAAACCACTGTGGTATATGTTCAATAGCATTACCATAAAATATGTACTTCATATTTTAATAATTAAAAATAAATAGAGTATTTGTAAGTTAATGATTTATTAGATAATACAATATTATAGGTAAATTAGTAATTATTGGAATCTTCATTTTCTAATTTTTGTAAATATATAATAATATCAGACATTAAGAATTAGTAAACGTGATTGTACTACAATTTTAAGTGTTTAATTTTAATATTTCAATTTAGATAAATAACTAAAATTGATGTTGTCATTAGACTGTGAATGTATTTATGCTTTAAAATAGACAATTTTCCCATAGCTTAATTAATTATTATCTTAATACAATAAGTTAAATTAACTATTTTATAATTTTATATTTTTTTGATAAATCTACAAATACTATAAATATAGTTTTTGTAGATGGATCATAAATCATTTTTATTTTATTTCTTAATATGCAAAGTACTTAACCATTATTATAACTTATAAGTACACAACTATATCCTAGAACTTAAGTATAACACCAATAAGCATTAATTTAACAATCTAGGATCATTATATATCATACCACAATATGAATAGGTGGCAGCTCTTTAAAAAGATCATCATTTGCAAAATAGGGTGATAAAAATGGATCTTCTGGTAACTTTGGTAAATCTATTGGTAATGGTGTTTCTTCTACTACTTCATTTAATGCATCTTCACTATCACTAAACCCAAAACAGTAAAATGTAATTTTAATAATTATAATAAGTAATTGTTTTGATCTATTTTAAAGAATGTAAATGTAATTTTATTTGAAGAAATAATTTCAAAATATGTAATTAATAGGACTGGGATTTTTATGCAATGTCATTTTTTTTTCTGGTGTTTTAAAACAGCTCTGTAAGTAAAAATGGTTTTAGGAGTTCTTGAATATTTCTATCATTTAATAAATTAAACTTTATAAGACATTTTTAAAGTTTTTAGAATATTTTTCACATCTTATTTTTAAAGCAAACCGAAACTGTGAAACCATTTGTTTTAATAAAAACCTAAATATTAGTAGAGGTGCCATTGTGGTCAGATAGCATCAAACGTGTATATATATATATATATGCAATACTTGCCGATTGCCATTTAATATTTACAGTTAATTAAAGTGACGATAATATGAATAATTCTATTTTAGTATCTTAAGTGCCTTCGGAAAAAAATCACCTTTGTTCAATACGTTACCGTTGGTTAAACTAAAAGAAATAAATTTTCATTATCTTATTTTTAGACATATTATATAAATTTTTAAGGTTTATATTTAGATTTTATAGAGCATTAAAATCCCAGGCTAAGTAATTAATATTTTTCTATATACATAGTAAGAAAATTGTGAGGGACATAAAGTACTAAAAATTGAGTTTTTGATGTTTTTTAAGACTTAATATTAACAATATTCAATGGTTAAAAGAAGATCGAAAATGAAAGAAGAAAGAGGATGGATTTATTCAAAAGATATCCCTATTCAATATGATGAAATATACAAAAAGGCTATTAGGGTATCTCAACTAAAACAGTTGGTATGGCTATTTTGCTGGTATAAAAAATGTATCCACTTTTATTTTATATTAAGTTATTATTATACAATAAAATTCAGAGGTGGACACTGGACATAATTGTAAGGGTTAGGTTGTATAAGGCCGGTTTTTCTGTACCATTATATATTTATAGATGTAAATCCTTGTAATTGGTTGTAAATAATTGTAAATAATTATGCATTATCACTTATTGTTAAACTCTTAAACTGTTAAAAATGTTAATTAATATTATCAATAAGTTAGATGACCTTGAAGGAACACTATAGTAAAACAATTATAAAATAAGGCCGGTTTATAAATAATACCTTAGTTACGAGTTTGCCTAATAAAACATACTTGAGCTGAAAAATCTTTCAAATATCTCTGGGCTATCTCTGAATTATAACTACATATTAGGTTTTATTATATCACCTAATATCTTCTTCAGCTGTTCCTCCAGTTAGTGTAATGAATGTGGTGGTAATAGCAGAACTTATATTTTCTGCAGTTTCTGTCAATATTGTTGAGAATCGTCTGGATTGTCTTCGTTCATGTGCAGCCATAATAACCTCTTCAACTGGAGTTATTACTGATTGACTATCATCGTTGGTGTTTTGTATTAACTCTAGAGCTTCTTCACTAGATTCAACTTCTTCTATAAAGCCTTCATTAGTGCCATCCTTTGGTTTTGCAATATTTTTCAATTTATACTCATACAAACTATCTTGATAGATGTCAGGAGAACAAGCATAGGCTAAATATTACACATGAAAATAAATATAAAAGTATAAAACCTAAGAATAAAAACAAAAAACTAATAATTACCTTTCAAACAATTAGTCATAAAACCTAGAGGTATTAGTGGATCTATTAAGCTCAGAAATCTTGCAGGTGTTGGAGACCAAGCTATTGCACAAGGGAAATATGCCAAAAATAAGCTGTCAGGTATTCTGAAACCCATTTCTATACATTTTAATGCTACACAAGCACTTAAATTTCCTCCAGCCGAGTCACCTGATTTAAAATGAAAATAAATTATTTTACTTCAACCAAATGCATTTTGCTTTGAACAATTTTTTTTCTAAATGTCTTCTTTTTTCAGTTTGTCTCCATGATTTTAAATATTTCACAAATTGATAGTAATAGTAAGTACAGCGTTTAGAACACATGTATAATTTATAAAATTATTTGTTACGAAATGAGATTCAAAATGGGTATTAAAATTTGTAACATTCACATATTTATGAATTTATATTTATATTTATACTAAATATTACACGTTCATGGAATTTTTAGACTAATAATTACCTTTAGGCTTTAATAATAATTATCTACCTTTTTATTAATTTGGTTAATAACAAAATAATAAAATTGTAACAAATGTCACAAAACTATTTATTATTTATGTATTTAATATAAGGCACACCTAATAGTGCATTAAACATAATGAACATTGTTTAGAGAATGACCTATTCAGATTATTTAGTTTTAAGCTATTGCAACTCAAATTTATTTCTAATTTTCTAATTTAATCATGTGACTAAAATAATTCAAAGAAAAAAATTTAAATTTTAAAATTTTAAGTTTTGAATGTACCAATCTATGTTTTATTTATATTTTTACCTGCCATTATAACACGTTTAGCAGTGGAACCCAAATAAGCTGCATTACTTAATGCCCAAATGTAAGCAAATAATAGTTCTTCCATAGCTCTAGGATACGGTGCTCTCGGTGCTAGAGAATAATCAATAGACAATATGGGAATGTCTAAACGAACAGCCCAATCTCTTAAATATGATTCATGAGAACTTGAACTTTGAGATACAAAACCACCTCCATGGCAGTGTATGATAAGATTTTCACATGGTTCTGGTAGCATCCCACTGCCGGGATTTTCTGCCAACTAATAACCATTAATACATTAATAAAAAAATTTAAAATATAAGAAAACTATTTACCATGCCTTCACGTTTAGTTTTTGCAATTAGTCGAGCATTTAGGGCAGCAGGTCCAATATGGCACACAGGAGGCTGGAGTTCAAATAATTCTCCATCTGGTTTCAAGTATAAAAATGGTTTGCTAGGAATTGCTATTAACCGATTTATAGCTACAGCAGGAGAAACTAGGTTTGGTAAACTTTTTAACAGTTCTGAAATTATCATTACATATCAAAAATTATTTTTATTTTAGTATTTTATTTCTAAACTTTTAAATTACCAGTTTCACCAAGGAATAAAAATGCTTTGTAAAATTCTATTGAAGAATACTGAATGACATTAACAATTCTACGAGCTCTCAATTCTGGATTTAACATATATTTGCTACCTAAATATTATAGTATATAAATTATAAAATACGATCCAATATACTTTAACCAAAATACTTACAATTCCATGCAGTATTAGCCCTAGCCAACATGCCATTTTCATTATAGTAGACTTCACTAAAAGCAGCCATCATTATAGCAATAGTTTTCAAAGCAGGCTGTAGTGACTCATTAAACTTAATAAACATAATACCATAAAATTAATTACTTAAAATATCTAAACGTTTTAAACGTATTACAGGTCATAGAATGTAGATGGATGATAATTGATAAATTGATAAATATATTATATTTTTAAACTCAAAGTAGTTTTTAAGTAAATTTCCAAACATTACAGAGATTTCTTTCATTTTCTTATATGGTTAAGACCTTTTTAAACCACAATGAAATATATAATTAAAGATAATTTTCTAAGAATGACAAATGACATATATGAACGATATATAAAAATCAATCAATGAACTAATAATGTATGTTTAATATGAACTCTGAATATATGTCTCGCTTAGACTAGATTAATGAATAAAAAAACCAATAAATAAAAATAGACTATTCTTTCATAGTTCCATGCATTATACTTTTATAAATAACTACCTATATTTGTTACTTTGTTAGTAAGTAAAGCATTCTTTAATTATTTAATTTGTGTAAAGTGTTATACATTCAATAGAAAGGTAGTGAAGAGCTTGAATCAATGAAGAATTAATTAATTTTACAAAAAGTATGGATCAAAAATTATAACAAGATATTTAATATGCTTTTGACTGTATTATATTTGAAATATTAACTAACCAATAATATCTATACAGATTAATAAAATTGGTCAAAATATGAAAACAGAACTTTTATAAAACTTTTATAAATATAACGGGTGATTCTTTTATCAAACACTCATTATCTCAAAAAATTTTAATATTTCTACATAGTTTCATGTTGCTTATAAAACAACATTTTTAATAAAAAAATATTTTTTTATCCTTATAATTTTTTAATTTTTTAACTTTTTTGAATGACAACATAGGGTTTTAATTTTATATTCCAAAGCAGAATTTTTTCTTAGTATTTAGATATATAAAAATCGAATTTGGGGTGAGTAGTTTATGAGTTATAAATATTAAAAGTTTTGATAATTGGAGAAGTGGACAAACATTTCAATATCAATATCAATCACTTAAATTGTAGCTATTAATAAAAACAGGTGGAAGTTAGAACATAGATGCGTTAATTATGTTAATGGTAAAAGTTGAAGATGCAAAATCAAAATGCATATTTTTAATACTTTAACATTTACTTGAAAAGCCAAACAGCGCCCATAAAAAGGGCATAGTTTAGATGGTTCAATTTTCATCATGAGTTCCAATGCTGCAGTATCATTTCCAGCAAACAACATGCCTGGTTCACTCCAACCAATTAAAAGACATAAGTTTTCTAAGCACAATACCAATGCACTCATCACTTGGTTACATGATTCAATCTCTCTGTAAAAATATTTTTATAATAGGAACATTAAATCAATTATACATAATAGGTCATGAATATGGTGAGGTGCATACTTTGTATAAAATGTTTTACGAAAAAAAAATGAATCACGATTGACGGCCATTTGATTACAAATTTTAATGCAATGGGCAATAAATAAATCAACAACTGTGACATAGCTTCGATATCCATTACCGGGTACAGATGGATCAAAATCATATAAATGACAGACATTACGCAATTCAGAAACCAAAGGTTTTATATTATCAATATTTTGAGATAATTGTTCAAAAGAATTGGCCATGGCAGTTGAACCATTTCTTTCGTTATTAGTAAAATAAATAACATTTTCTTTACATAAGTCTTTAAGTTTTTCATATGATAATGTACTATCATCTGTTTCCACTAATGTTGCCATAATAATAATATACTATATGAAGTTCCACGAACGACACACCTATAAAAAAGAAATGTATATAATATAATATATTATACGCATATAAAATATGATATTTAAAACATAAATGCTTAGTAGAAACTCTAGGTGACTGACTTTTAATAGATAGGTGCATACTACATACAGACATATTATATAAAGAATCTACACAAACTTATGAGTTGTTTGCCTTTTCTGTTACTAATGGTGATATTGTTATTTATTGTTATAGTTTATTCTATTTGTAAGACTTAGAGTTTCTATTAAAATCAATATAAGTAGACATAATAGTGAAGCTTGAAAATCCATTAATTGTTATATAATAGGTAGTGTATTTATGTCAAGAAACTCTTTTAACCCTTTAGTTGTATATAAAAGTTTAAATTATTGTTACCTACTAATAAACAAAAAAAAATTAAATATTAAAATAAAAGAAATAACAAAAAAGTTACATTTTTTATATTAGGTTATATATTATATTATATAGGTAGTATAATATAGTAATAAGCAATATAAAATTCAAATAAAATATATTTTATTATGTTAATATTTAAACATTCAAAAAATGGAGTTAAAAATTAAAAAGAATTATTAGGTTAAATTTTTGTTCTATAGTAATGTATTTAATATCTGTCTTAAAAAAAATAAAAGTAATATCACAGAATATTTGATATATCCTGTGGTAAGTTATGAATATATACTTATTTCTTTATACTTACTAAAATAATGAAGAATAATGCGAGTACAAAGTATTCATGTATACTTTTCAACTGTCAGACTTAACATTGTAAACCTAGAAAAGATATATTCTATTGATATATTTTGATGTGTTGTACATTTTTAAAAAAATATAAGGAACAATTAAATTTTATAAATTGATTTTAATTTATCGGTGTTTGGCAGCAAATTATTAATAAATAAATTATTCAAGTTATTAGAATTTCATTTTACTTTACAATCGAGACTAGTAGTATATACATAGTGCATAACACTTTGTGAACACATAAATTATAGTCACTAGTATCCTACACTCTACAGTGTGTGTTGAAAATCTAAGTAGCAAAACAATAAGATTTTCATCAAGTATTTCATAATATACCTACTGGTATTATAATAAAATTGCAGTTATTATACTGCTATATTATACACATGAACACAAAATATGTCATTGATTAAATAATTAATTATTACTATAAAATGGCCTTCGGTCTTTAACATGGTTAATTAGACTAGATTCTCAAAATATTGTATACAACAGAAATCATAATATTGTGTCTTGTGTAGGAACAAGGAAGTTTCGTGTAAACTGTCCATTTGAATTCTTAAAATAAACAAATACAATATGATAGATAGGTACGTAGTTACACTATTGTTTACAGTCGTACTGAGTACATTGTAACTAAATTTGTAAGTAAGTCGTATTGTCGTAAGTACGTTGCAAAACTTCAGAACGGATCGCTGTAAGAGACATGCAATCACGTCTCGCCACAGTCGGGCGCATAGATTAAAGATTAGTTTTGGTCGGGCGACTGACGTCTGAGGTCTGCGCCGGCGCGCCCTGCGGTCCGCAGTAATGCAAAACATATCCGCATTCTGCGCGTTTATCGGTCTACACTTAATTTAAAATTAAAATGTTGAGTTTTAAATCAAATGTTGAAAAGTTATTGTTCAGTAGTCAGTCGTAAATGTTAAATAATGTTCTAGTTTTATGGTTTTTTTTTTTACTTTTGCGCTATCGCTTGTCGAGTATGATACTCGGAGTATCGACTATCGACCACTGCTGTGATAACAATAATTATTATTGAGGGGTGACATTCCTAAACGTACCATTGCCATAAACTTGATTTTCCAGGAAGAGCAGTTTTGTTAAAAATATTATCTCTTATAGTGATACTATGTAAATAGACAATAGTACGTTTTGGATGAATCATACATGACTTGAAGAATCTACATGATAAAATAAACTTACTTTACCACACAGATTTCTATATAGCACAGCAGTTGAGAAGTATAATATCATATTATAGTGTAGGTAGTATAGAAGTCTGTGGTCATAGACAAGCCACAAGCATAGTGTAACTTTACTATGATTATGTTCTCTTCAAAAATTCAGTCCACGGTCTTGGATTATTCAATACTCAATCCATATACCATAGATATATTATTAATAATCAGTTTCTCACCGCGACACCGCCAGCTGATTATGGTTCAAAACATTTCCACGTAGAGCGGGCAAATCGCAAATTATATCGCCAAATGCCAAAAAACCTGCCTATATAGTTCCCCAGGGGCCAGTGCCTTAAATTAGAGATTACAAATTACAATATAATGCGATGTAGAGAAGATGTCTTCTTTACATCGTGCTCAGAATGCTCAGATCATAATATACTATGTACACCTATTAACACATAGGTCATATGGATGGAGCCGTGTCTCGGTGGTTTTAAACACACATAATATGTGTAAAAAAAATGTCTATAAGAATTTATTAAGAATGTCATATTAATTTTTTATGAGAGTTCGAAGTTCATATTTTTACAACATATTATTCACTCGATTTCTCATGTACCTAGTGATTTTCTTATTTTGTTGTAATTCAGAAACGAATAACCGTACTCTTTAAATTTATATTATATGTTTATTTTATCAATTCCTATACTCGAGAAAATTTTCAAAATATTTTTACTTGTTTCCAGCTGCTTACGGACAATTTCCAATTTCAATTTTTTTAATTCATTAATAAAATGTTATTTGTTGGGCCAAAAAGAGTGAACATTTAATACAAGGCTTCTGATATATTGTTACAATAGCAGTTAATAAATATTAAAAATACATAAGCAAGTTATTTTTTATAAGCATTTAAAATTCGAATTTTGACAAAAATTTATAAAATTTAAAATTCAGTAATTATTTTGTAGTTAAAAATGTATAAATGTTCAACTTTCATAGCTAAGGACTGAAAATTTAAAACAAGATTCCACCTAAAAAGGTTATACATATATAAATTAGGTACCTACTTTATTCACAATTATATCATCAAATATAGGTACTTACTACTTAGTAATATCATACTAAGGCACTAAACTGACTGACCGTCTTCGCTCAGAATCGTTTTTCTTATATACAATGATATTATATTATTGAATTCAAATTTAACCATACAAGTATACAACAGTGACCCATTTGTAATCTACTGTACAACAGAGCGACACCCACTTGCCCACCATTTTTTTCTTCGGATTTTTTCGATGTTTTTATATTTATAAGTCACAATGATGGTTCGACAATATATTTTTATATAACTAACATGACTACTCCAAGACAGCATGATTTGATAGGCGCGCATTTAAAATTAACAATATTCTGTAAAACTATCTCGTAAATATGATCTAAATCTAGAACTATTAATCGTTATAACTGTGTAATAAAAATTTGTAGATTTGATATCTAGACTTCATTCATCTTAATCATGTTAAAATGGATAATCGGAAAAAAAAGTCCCTGTAAAAAATTTCCCGAAAAAAATGAATGAAAATACATCAAAATTGAAGTATAAATAAGTTAAAACTGTATTGAAAAATACATTAAAGGTACATAAAAAATTAGTTATATTATAAAAAATTAGAAGGGAGCTTACATATCACGTTGATGGACAGTCTTGTGGCCGCCGTCGAAAAAAAACTATCCTTAAAACGACTCTTTTCATTACTGCTATAGCAGTAATATTTTTAGTACTGCTATAGCAGTACTGACCTCCGACATCACATTTTCAATTTAAAAATTACTGCTATAGCAGTATTACATTTAAATGTTAATATTACGAATTGTGTATCCTGTGTTGTGCCAATCAAATGAAAAAAAAACATTAACTGTATATATCGATAAATATTATCGAAATATAAATTATAACTTATCAGCTGAAGAATAAAAATGGAAAATACGTGTACATGTATTATAAATACGTGTATACATAAGCCAAAAATAGAGTGCCCGATGACCCGATGAGATGTCCGGGGTCAGTAAAATTTCCTTTCTCATAAGAGACCATTGAAAATATCACTGCTATAGCAGTAATGACACTTTTTGGACGATTTTTATATTACTGCTATAGCAGTAATATTTAAAAACGACCCCTGACATCAACATTTAATATTACTGCTATAGCAGTAATATCGGCAACTGTCCACCAACGTGATATCTTATAGTGTATATATTATGAAAAAAGAACCAAAAATTTATTAATTATTGCTTATAAGATGTTTTGTACATTCATTTTAATTTGGTAACAATAAATATTATTATTATTATTATTATTATAAAATATATATTTAATTTTCAAGTTTCCTAATGGAGATCATATTTTTGGCTTCTGCTATAATTTAGTAATTTACTATTTAGTTTTAGTGTAATGATAATATGGTATATATTAAATTGTATAAATAAATATAAAAAGTTTTATATTATAAATAATTCATCATAAATTGAAAGGTAATCGCAGAGGTAATTTAAAAAAAATTGTTGTGTGTTATAGGAATTCATTCTGGATGGTTTCTCAAAAATAGCAGACTAATAAGTATATAAGAAATTATTATACATATTTATAATTTGAAGTTTGATTAGGAACATTACATAAAAACAAAGTTTTTGCTATAATAATAGGTTATATGTATACGTATACAGTATACCTGCCTATAAACAGGCCTTTTCAACAGCCGTAAGTCATAACAAAAGAAAGAGGCGTACTTAATTATAATATTACATTAAGACCTACAGTCGTCTCTGGGGATGAATATAAGGACTCGCCCGTGAACTGCTGCAAGCTGGCCGTATGGCGTATCCACCACGGTGCCACATGTTCGTGTAGCAGTGCAGGACACCATCACTCCCGACTCGGTGCGACCTCTTAGGATTTTCATATAAAATAATTGAAAGTCGTGAATTTAAGCAACATTTTATTTGGTAAACATTTTGTGTAAACTTTATAGTATTTGTGACTGAAAGATTAATAATATTAATGTGATAAACTAGTAATTGTGAATTTAATTGTGTATAATATAAGGTTAATATCTATAATAAATTAATTTCTAATATTTTATTAATTAATTGGTTGATTTTCTTAAGTTTTCATTTTATGTTATTGTCTTTTGTTGCTTCGTTCAATAAATTGTTCATTACATTTATTTTTTTTCTAAGCTTTCCAATCATTCTGTGATTGAAGACAAAGAATTTTCTTATAAATTTAAGAATATCATTAATTTACTCAAAGTAGTCGGAGGTTTTTCTGTAGATGTTAACTTTTAAGAAATCATTTCAAATACCAGGAAAAAGTATTTGGGTATTTTTTGAATTTGAATATTAATTCATTAGCAAAAAAAGTATTTAATGTGTTTTTTTGAGTAGTTATATATATTTATTTTAAAAGTATTCTTTACAACACAACATTGTAGTTAATAACATACATTAAACATTTTAATTGTAATTAATATGATTTATTATTTATCAGCCTATGGACACCTCTAATTAAAGGAATGATGCCAATACAATTACTTATGGCATCTCTCAAGTACATTATTCTTATTTCTTAGTACAGTGAAACCTCTAATAATGGACACCTCTTAATGGTGGTGACTTTTGATTCCTGTCAAAAATAAATGAATACAATCGTCAATAGGATAAAGAATTAGATTAATTTATAACACCTGTGGTTATACTCTAAATAATTGACACTGAATAGTAGAATATTACGTAATACACTAAAACCGGTATCAGAAGTATAAATAACATTATCAACTGACATAATATATTATGATGTGCTATCCAAAATGTTTAAGTAATAAAAATATATTTAAAATAAAAAAGATGAGATTGAGTTTTCCATAGAATCCATTATGCCATAATGAAAAACAGAAAACAATCAGTAAAAAAACCTAATTTTTTAATAAAACCATATTTATAATAATTAATAAATACATATAAATAATAACTAGCTTTTATAAATTATAAATATTATGTAATTACTAATTAATAATACCGATTTTAATGTTTAATATCTTAAAACCCTTTTTAGTTTTATATGTTCACATGATATTTGTACTTTCAATTTTTTTCCTATAGCTCTTAACTATAATTGACATTTATTTTTATTTTTTATGACTCCACTATATATAGGTTTCACTGTAGTTAGTACTGATTTAATTGGTTGAAATATAATATAGAATCATATTAATATTGAGAAGATTAACAAGTGACTATACACATTTCATTTTATACAGCTTTTAATAAGAAGTAACCTATAAAATTATATAGTCAATTGTTGTCTAATAATAGACATTACAAGGGTGTCACTGTCAATTATTTTGGCTAAATCGTTATCCCACACTGGCTTCCATCGAGTACGGTCTTTATCGCACGTCACAATCAACTCCTTTGTGTATTGTGTTGTTGTCCAGTTTAAGACAAAATTGCCGCCAGCACAAGTTATAATCACTGAAAACCAAAATCAAGTGTTATTAATATATTAATATATTGTACTAATCTTAGCAATATACTATATAAATTATAAGTAAAGATCAGACTTTGCATAAAATGCATGGTGTTATTTTCTACATCATATACATGCAGTCAATGGATTTTCTTATATCATTACTTGATCAATAAAATACCAACATTTTATACTGCACATTTTTGCTTATTTTGGGTACACATACTTAATTAAAATACATGTTTTTTGCATATCATGGGTAAGGTAATACAATGTTATTTAATCACTAAAAATTTAAAAGATTTTTCATATGCATAGACATTTTTAAATTAATTCTGAATAAATCAAATGTTAAACCGGATCTTGCCTTCACCAAATTTTAAGATCACAACTATTGATTTTACTGTTATTTTTAAAATTAGAGTAAATCAACCTGTTATAAAATTTAAAGTTGAGATTATTATCTAGGGAGGCTATTGTTAATTTAATTTTAAAGCAAGTTAAGATTCTTAAAATTTCCAAAAAATGTATAGTTTTAAAATGCTTTTAACTTGCTTCTTAATTCAAATATCAATAAAAGCCTTGGAGATGTATACAGTAGCTCAGGCCTCAGACTTGCATTTCATTAGTTGGGGCAAAGTATAAAAATTATTCTATGGCATCATAGTATCCTGCTGTCTACTGATCGGCTGTCGGGTAGTTAGTATATTCCTAAGATTTACAAATTACAGTGTAAATTTATACACCCGTCCACACAAGACCCAACCACCTGACACCCACCACCCTAATTAATTACAGGGGCGAATCGACCCATAAAAGTATGTGTCTGGCGCCACTGGATGTATAGGATAATAATCTTATCATTAAATTGCGTAATAGGTCAATTCACACTTAATTTAAAAAATTACAGTAAAATGGATTTTTTTTGAAAGTAATCAATGAAAGTACATCTATGATGTATTTTTGTAAGACAGGGACAACAAGAATGTAATGTCCTTTTAAATGAAAATAATTAAATTGTATACTGCATATTTCGTACTTTTTCTTACATATTTTTACCTTTATATGTGTAAATTAAATAATTATTGGTGTATAAATATACCCGACCTTTAATTATAAGCAACGTCTAACAACATCACTACAAGCTACTACCTTTCATTTCTTGGGGACTAGGTTTCACTGATGGAGTAACCAAAACATTATATCCATCTAAGAGTCTCTTGGTCTTGGCTTTGGCTAACGACTTCTTAAGCTGAAACATGTATTTTCTTTCCGCATCTTTATCCGCAATTATAAAATCGTCAACGTCTACAAAAATATTTAGTATTAATATATTATATTATGCAGTTGACAATAAAGAACACGCAAGAAAAAAACCTTGAAACATTTTAACAGTGTAAGAGTGTTTCACCCAATTCACATTGACAATTGGACACCCTTTGGCTATTGCCGATAGTATTTTCATTGTGCACCGTATCTTGTCTGTTACCAATACTGTACATTGTGTAATATCATCGGTAACTGTCCCACCTAATAACAATATAGTATTCAGCTTTAAAAAAGACAATTCATATTTATTTAGGCCACTCAGCATAAAGTATTAGTATACCTGTTTTTTCAACAAATTCTTTCATTTCTTGCAGGTGACGACTCTTAAGATAACTAAAACTAACAACAATTTCTGATGAATTTTCAACCTAAAATTACAAAAAATATTTTATTTAATTTATTTGTTACTTTGTCAGATGTATATTTTAAATAGTAAAATTGTTCAGTTTTTATGGCCGCTTTGATTTTATTTTTGTTAGATTTGGTGTATCATATAAATTATGGAGCATCTTAATGTCGAGCAACTCATTTCAGTACTCAATACTCATTATAAACACGGGAAAAGTGCTGATCAAGCTTAAACGCCACAGCCAGGGTGCATACTTCTTTCAGAATATGTATACAAGCTGATTAATATATGTATTTTTATAAAATATAACTTTTTCAATAAAGTAGACTCTAAATAGTTTTCACCCATACCAAACCACCCTATACTAGTATAACTAAAACTGAAATATATTTAAGAATAAAAAAATTAAGATAGATAAAAGTTAAAACTGACAATACAGTTTAAACTCACACTAACGATTAAAAAAAAATGTCTTTTTTTATGTTAACAGGTTGAAGACACACCAATGTTTATTTTTGACTATTACACAAGAAACAATGATAACATCTTCAAGTCTCAAGAAGAATTTTGATAAATAATTACTAATTAGTAAGTGTAATTAGTGCTAAAGAACTAAAAAATAAAAACTAATAAAAATAACATTTTTGATGGAATTTTTGTAATGTTATTTATTATTTATTAATATTATTTAGTAGAAACTAGAAAGGTTATCTTTGTTTACTAGATACTGAGAATAAAAATACCTAATCATAATTTCAACTGTAGAATGTATTTGATATATTACAAAATGGCTATAGTATAATGTTTTCTATGTAAAAAACTGAAATAACTCATTTAGCGAGGATATTCATAAGAAATATATAGTATGAAACTCACCAATGGTTCTGATATATTATTCCTGTTGCATAATTTTTTGTTGCTTTCTACTATGCCATTTTGCTTTCGTTTTCTAGTTATTGCTCTTGTTTGGTACCGTTCTTTATTTTCCTTAACTTCTGGTGTGATTTTGATACTTTTTTGTTTATCACTTCTTCCTTTATCCTGACCTTGTTCTCTTTTCTTATTCCAAAATGATTTCCATTTAAAAGCATCGTTACTAGAAGTAGATGGTTCACATTTTAAGGTATTTAAATTATTCCCAATGGTTATTGGAGATGAATGATCTTCTAACAATGAGTTTGCACTTACATCAGGTATATTTAATGGACTAAATATTGATTCATTCATTTGTTTCAAATGGTTATTATATTTAAGGGAAATAGATACTTGAGATTGGTTAGAATCATCAATAAAACATTCTTGCTTAGTAGATGCTGATGCGTTTAAATCATTTTTTTTGATAGTAGTGGTTTTTGAACAACCAGGTGAATCAAAGTTTTTATTAAAAGACACCGTAGTATTTATATTATTAAATATACTGTTTTTATTAGGTTTATTTAAGATGATCGTGGAATTATTGCTTGAACCACCAGAACAGGACATATTATGGAGATCTTCTCTAACCCGAATTTTTGGTTTATTAGTTCTTAAGCTATTTGAGGAGTTCTCATTACACATAACTGGTAGTTGGACATTTGATAGGCTTTTTATATTAGACTTGACAAACTTTGATTTTTGAACCTTACATCTGTCTTCATTGTCAGGTACAACAGTTTCTTTATGACTGTTTGTTTCATCTAAAACAAAATAAAATATAATATATATTATGACATCTAGATTAATAGGTACACAATTTAACTGAAATCATGGTCCATACCAAATTGTTTGGGATTCTTAGTGACGTCTTCATTAATGTTTATAGAACAATTTGAAATTGTTTTCGACAGAACTGCAGTTAGCACTTTTTGTGGAGTAGAATTGGCAATATTTACTTTATTTTGTTTTATTATACTAGGCAAACTTGTTTTTGAAATTGATTGTATCGACGAGTCTTTGGTTTCAGCTTCATTAATAATTATAGGAATTGATTCATGTTTCTTACAATCCATTGAGAATTTAGAATTACTATTACATGATACTTTTTGAGTAGGACAGTTGAAAAAATCTTCATCGTCAATTTTGAGAACATCTTTTAAGTCTCCGTGTATACTGGTGGAAGTAATATTATTTGTTTTATCAAACTGTGAAAATTCTGGAGGTCTTTGAGTTTCTTCTTCATGTATCGAAGAAGATATTGTTGGTTTTGGATTTAACTTTTTAGTAATTGATAATTTTTGAGTAGGACAGTTGAAAAAATCGTCATCTATTTCAGGAACTTCTGTTAAATCTACATGTCTATTGGTGGAATAGCTATTGGAAGCGATATTATTTATTTTATCGGATTGTGAAAATTCTGGAGGTCTTTGTGTTTCTTCGTCATGTATTGTAGAAGATAATTTTGGTTTTGGATTTATTTTTTTAGATGTTGATAATTTTTGTGTAGGGCAATTGAAAAAATCATCATCTATTTTGGGATTTTGAGTATTTTCTTCATGTTTACTGGTGGAATAAGTTTTTGACAAAATTGAACTACTTTTACAAGGTTTTGAAAATTCTAAAAATTCCTGTGTTTCTTGGTCATGTATCGAAGAAGGTACTTTTGGTTTGGGATTTATCTTTTTAGATGTTGATAATTTTTGTGTAGGGCAATTGAAAAAATCATCATCTATTTTGGGATTTTGAGTACTTTCTTCATATATACTGGTGGAATAACATTTTGACAAAACTGAATTACTTTTACAAGGTTTTGAAAATTCTAAAAGTTCTTGTGTTTCTTGGTCATGTATCGAAGAAGGTACTTTTGGTTTGGGATTTATCTTTTTAGATGTTGATAATTTTTGTGTAGGGCAATTGAAAAAATCATCATCTAATTGGGGATTTTGAGTATTTTCTTCATGTATACTGGTGGAATAACTTTTTGACAAAATTGAACTACTCTTACTAGGTTTTGAAAATTCTAAAAGTTCTTGTGTTTCTTCATCATGTATTGAAGAAGTTAAATTTGGTTTTATCTTTTTAATAATCGATACTTTTTGTGTGGGGCAATTGAAAAAATCATCATCTAATTGGGGATTTTGAGTATTTTCTTCATGTATACTGGTGGAATAACTTTTTGACAAAATTGAACTACTCTTACTAGGTTTTGAAAATTCTAAAAGTTCTTGTGTTTCTTCATCATGTATTGAAGAAGTTAAATTTGGTTTTATCGTTTTAGTAATCGATACTTTTTGTGTTGGACAATTGAAAAAATCGTCATCCATTTCAGGAACCTCTGTTAAATCTTTATCTATATTGGTGGAATAGTTATTAGAAGCAATATTATTTGTTTTATTAAATTGTGAAAATTCTAGAGGTCTTTGTGTTTCTTCTTCATGAATTGAAAGAGATACTTTTGTGTTTGGTAATATATTTTTAGATGTTGATAATTTTTGTGTAGGACAACTGAAAAAATCATCATCTATTTTGGGATTTTGAGTATTTTCCTCATGTTTATCGGTGAAATAGGTCTTTGAAGTAATTGAATTACTTTTACAAGGTTTAGAAAATTCAAAAAGTTCTTGTGTATCTTCATTATGTTCTGAAGAAGATACTTTTGATTTTGGATTTATCTTTTTAGTAATTAATAACTTTTGAGTAGGACAGTTGAAAAAGTCTTCGTCTGCATTGAGAATCTCTGTTAAATCTTCATGTATGTTGGTTGAAGAGGTCTTTGAAGTAATTGTATTTGTTTTATTGAGTTGAGTAAACTCAAAAGGTCTTTGTGTTTCTTCTTCATGAATTAAAGGAGATACTTTTGGTTTTGGAAATATATTTTTTGACGTTGATAATTTTTGTGTAGGACAATTGAAAAAATCATCATCTATTTTGGGATTTTGAGTATTTTCTTCATGTATACTGGAGGAATAACTTTTACAAGGTTTTGAAAATTCAAATAGTTTTTGTGTATCTTCATCATGTATTGAAGAAGATACTTTTGGCCGTACCTTTTTAGCAGTTGATACTTTTTGAGAAGGACAGTTGAAAAAATCGTCATCTATTTCAGGAACCTCTGTTAAATCTACATGTCTATTGGTGGAATAGTTATTGGAAGCAATATTATTTGTTTTATTTAATAGTGTAAATTCTGGAGGTTTTTGTGTTTCTTCTTCATGAATTGAAGGAGATACTTTTGTGTTTGGAAATATATTCTTAGATGTTGATACTTTTTGTGTAGGGCAATTGAAAAAGTCATCATCTATTTTGGGATTCTGAGGATTTTCTTCATGTATACTGGTGGAATAACTTTTTGACACAATTAAATTACTTTTACAAGGTTTTGAAAATTCTAAAAGTTCTTGTGTTCCTTCATCATGTATTGAAGAAGTTACTTTTGGTCGTAACTTTTTAGAAGTTGATAATTTTTGTGTAGGACACTTGAAAAAATCGTCATTCATATCAGGAACCTCTGTTAAATCTTTATTTATATTGGTGGAATAGTTATTAGAAGCAATAATATTTGTTTTATTAAATTGTGAAAATTCTGGAGGTCTTTGTGTTTCTTCTTCGTGAATTGAAAGAGATACTTTTGTGTTTGGAAATATATTTTTAGATGTTGATAATTTTTGTGTAGGGCAATTGAAAAAATCATCATCTATTTTAGGATTTTGACTTGGTGGAATACAACTTTTTGATAAAATTGAATTACTTTTACAAGGTTTTGAAAATTCAAAAAGTTCTTGTGTTTCTTCATCGTGTATCGAAGCAGATACTTTTGGTTTTGGAAATATATTTTTAGATGTTGATAATTTTTGTATAGCACAGTTGAAAAAGTCATCATCCATTTCGGGAATCTGAGTTAAATCGTCATGTATAATTGTTGAAGCTCTTGCATTATTTTTGAGTGATTTTGAGTGATCTATAAGGTTTTGTGTTTCTTTATCATGTATTGAAGAGGTTACTTTTGGTTGTATATGTTTTTTAATTGATACTTTCTGAGTGGGGCAGTTGAAAAAATCTTCATTTTCAAGTTTCGCCATATCATGTTGCTGAGATTTACATTCTTTTTCAATAAAATGTCTGAATACATCATCATCATCTGCTTCAAAAGTATTAACAATTATCTTATGTTTATCACTATTATTACCATTGGTAGATAAGTGAATATTGTTTGGACCTGATAAATTGCCATTACTGCTAATGTCTAAACAATTTTTAATTGGAATAATTGACTGTTCACCAGATACAACGTCCTGGTCTTCATCGTTGTTTGAGGTATGTGTGTATAATTCTATAATATTGTTATCAATTTCCAAAACTTGAGTATTGTTGAATTCATCAACTTCATTTGGAGACTGAATGGCTGAAATTATACCATGGTTATTGGTTTCAATATCATTTTCAAAATCATTGCAACATCCAAAATCCATTATTGGACTAGGAGTATCTTCTCGAATTAGTTCTTTATTTATTTTGCTGGGAGATTGAAATATATTTTTTGGTATATTGTTTGTAGTTAAAATGGAACTCTTAAGATCCATTACAGGACTGGGAGTATCTTCTCGCATCGCTTCTGTATTCATTTTGTTAGGTGATTGAAATTGTTTTTTCGTTACATTGGTTGTTGTTAAAATGGAACTTTTAAGATCCATTACAGGACTGGGAGTATCTTCTCGCATCGCTTCTGTATTAATTTTGTTAGGTGATTGAAATTGATTTTTCGTTACATTGTTTGTTGTTAAAATGGAACTTTTAAGATCCATTACAGGACTCGGAGTATCTTCTCGTGTTATTTCGGATACGGATTCTGTTAAATTCATTATACGAGTAGCTTCATTAGATAAATTGTGAACAATTTCATTAGAATTTATATTATTTTGTTTTGTTTCTACTTGGCTAAGAGCCTCTAATAAATATTCATCACAGGGACTCGAAGAATTTAATTTTGTGTGTATATCATTAACAGTATTCATGGCACATTCAGTTCCAGTAATGGTTTTGTTAACTTCTTTTTCTATCTTGAATGTAGATTTATTTTCAATTACTAAGGATACATTACAATCAGAAATTGCATTAGGTATGTCTGTTCCAAACAATTTTGGAATGTTGACCTGAAAAGAATAAATAAATTTAAATTTAAAATTACTGAAATAATAAAGTATAAGATCTTACCGTATTAGACAATTTTGATAAGGAAAGCTCATCATTTTGAGTTACTTTGTGTAAAGAAGTATTATCAGGTGCTATAAAAGTAAAAATTGTGAAAATAAGAACCAACATTAATTATAATGTGCATTTTTGTATTATCTATAACTATTAAAAATTACCCATTGATTTGGTATCATTTTTAAATTCAATAGATTTTTCATTTATAAAATAATCAGCTTGGACTTCTCCAAACATCAGCAAAGCATTTTCTTCAAGAAAATAAGCAACATCTTTCCTCAAAGTTTTCTAAAAATGTTGAAAATATTAATAATTCACTGCAGGTATGTATAAATTATAAGCACTAATTATTAGGGATACCTTATTAAGTTTAGTTTTATTTAAACTTCCTTTATCTAACAGAACAACACCATCAGAATCACATTGAATAACAGCATGGTTCATCGATACTGACTAATAGTAAAATAAAAAAAACATAAAATATGAAATAATATTACAAAATGTAGATAAAGAAATACATTATCGATAAATTGCCACCCGCTTGTAGGCTATTTTAAATAACACTTGAAGGGATTTGAAAAAGACTGTTTCTCATGCTAAAAAAAAAAAATTTTCTTTACGCATCCTGAATACTGATCTATCTTATTTTATTACAATTTATAGATTTTAAAATAATTTTGAATTCTATGTCTTGTTTTATTTAGATCCTATTAACAACTTTTAAATACATTTGGACATTTACTTATCAAAATTAGACTTAATCAAACATTATAATATAACATTATATTAATATGTTTATAATATATTCTACTTGTTATTCTTTTCTACACAACAAATGGAAATAGTTATTTGTAATATCTTAAGATAACATGTTAAGACCATCAATTTTTAAATCTATTCAATAGGTATCAAAATCCATAAAATTTTAATACTCAAGGCTTGAAAATAGCATAACATAATGTCACATGATGCTCATAATAATTAATTATGGGTGAAAATTGTTCACTACCCCTAAAAATAAACAAGTGGCAATCTATCTAGATCATAAACAAAACTATTCTTACCGGATGCTCAATGTATATATGATTTAAGGGATGTCTTCCAATTGTATTATCACCTTCTTTTAGTATATAACGTTCATTGTCAATCATATCATTTAGGACAATGTATCCATACTAAATAAAAACAATGATGAATAAATGATATTGTAACTATGTTGTTAAGTTAGTGAAGTAAAGGCATAGGGGCAAATATTGTTTGAACTTTGAGATTTTGGGTAGGGCTTAAGCCCTTCTTTATTGAATAAGCTTAAAAATAATGTAGGAAATGTTTGGTGGGGCTCAGCCCCTAAAGCCCTCTCTCATTCAACACTGTGAAGGCAGTATGTATGACTAACCGCTACATATTTGTTTTTTAATAAATTAAGATATACTATATACTAAACAATGTTTGAATTTCTAACAAATGGTAATAGTGTTAGTATTACTGGTTTAAAAAATAAAAATTTCATGAACTGCCTTCTTAGAATCGGTTTATTCAAAATATTATTGTGCATTATGCCTCTCCTCTTACAATTAAATATAATTAAAATAAATATGAGGTACTCACATTGTTAATTTTTTCTTGTTCATCGTCCGATTGACTATCCGTACTTACGATGGCTTGTGTACATATCCAAGCAGAATCCACATCTGCGTCCATAATTGCAGCTGTGTCAAAATTATTATATTTTTCGTTCAAAACAGTTTGGCGGGTTAAAGCGGTTTAGGTGTAGGTGCTGTTAGTTAGGTACCAGACAACTGACAAGTCCCAATAAGCATAACATTTGTTAGCCCTACAACTATTACAAAATTCTAGTTATTACTGCTAAACTCAGTTTACATCAGATTCATCAGTTGAGTGTCAATACCTAAAAATCAAATCATTATTTTTAAATAAATTTACTGCAAATAGTTAACATTGAAAGCAGAACGGAGAACGTTGGAACTTGGAACATTGGAACGGCGGAAATCGGAATGTCGGATAATCGGTTGATAATTGAGTGAAACAGTAAACAAACTATAAAGCCCGTAAATACGCGGTTTAGATAGCACATCGCACATGGTGATAAGCATACATTTGTGTCTGAGATAAATCCACAGACATTACAGCGCCATCTAGGTGAATTTAAAATTCTAATATAATTTGCCTGGAGGCTCCCCTGCACCCTTTCAAATTTTAGTATTGTATTTGTCGTGGCTGGGCTACCCGCGGGCCGCATGTGGCCCTTATTGTAATTGTATGTCACTTGACACTTCGGACACTTGATGAACGTTCTCGAAGTGCTGTCAAACCGCGTCTAGGGGTGAATACAGGCAGGGGCGTACTCAGGAATTTTCAATGGGGGGGGGGGGGGGGGGGGTTAACATTTTGTTTTTTATCACGGGGACTTTGTCACTTCCTTTTTAAAAATATTAAATATAAACATGGTAATGTACTCTACAGTAAATAAATTTCAAAAATGAAAAATGTTTATTTAAAGAACAATATTCCGATTCCGATTGATTAATGTGTTCATGTTTTCTTTTAAGATTATTGTAGGGTTCAATGTACTTAGAACTTCCAGGCACACTAGTAAAAAATGTTATTATTTTATTTTTATTTTTTGACTTTATGGAGCGTTTATGGAAAAAGAATAAATACTTAAGGGGATTCGATCCGGTGATTAAATAAGGGGTCGTGTATAGGCAATTCGATGTATTATAATCGTTTCGCAGTGTGTTTGTGTGCGAAGTAAATGATCATTAGTGTGCGTAGATACGTTAGGAATCAGTGGTTCGCACCCGCATGCCATGTCACATAATAAAATATTTGTTCCAACGAGAAACTAATTTCAATCAATTGAGACCTAAAAGCCTGACAAAAATACGATAACTTAGAATGATCGGATTTTAGTTCTGTAAACATATTTGAATTCATCGTTCTTTTTTCTAGGTTATTGTGGGAGTCGATTTTTGAATAACTGTTTAACTTTTTAAAGAAAGACACAAACAATTTTCAAAAAATTGAGAAATCGAAGTATGATTTAACGTGAATTCTAAAAAAATATCGAAAATTGATTCCCACAATAACCTAGGAAAATTGTCAATGAACTCGAATCTTTTTACAGAATTGAAATTTGATAATTCTAAGTAGGCGTATTTTTGTCAGGCTTTTAGGTCTAAATCATGAAATAAATACGCTGAATCGAATCCCCTTAAATTTTAATACTATCATTAATATTTTTCAAAAGTATATTAAATTACTATACATTTTAATAATTATCTGTGTGAAATAGTACAAGTAATTTTAATATATACCTAATTTAGAAAAAACAATTAATAATTTTGAATAAGGGGGCCTTGACAGTTTTACATTAAATTTAGGGAGCCTCACGACAAAAAAAATTGAGAAATACTGTACTAGATTATAGTGTAAAATATCTAAATATAATAAATATAACTAGCTGTCCCGGTAAAAGATCATGTTTTTAATGTTGCATTTCAATTTGAAAACTACATATAAATTTTTCACTGTTTATTTTTCTAACATAATTTATATTTATTGAAGAAATATATAAACAAATTTTTTGACAAAGGTTGGTTGCTCAATACACAGTCAAATATTAACCAAATATATCATAACGCATAATGTCATAACAAGAATGATATTCACTTACAAAAGAAAAAAATGAGCAAGGTGCTAAAAACAAGGAAACACCAAAAAAACTAAACAATTTTTCAAAATTAGTTTGAAGTTTATAAGATAACTATTATTGAATAATATTATAATATAAATAATATACCTAATCATAAAATAAAATATGCAAAATATTTTAAACATGTTTTTAGTTTTTTATAAGCACTAGAAAATAATACTCCACTCTACCAGACTACTATTAGAATTAGGAGTAGAATCATAATAGTTTTAATTTAATTTAAAGATTTTAAGAAGGATGCAAATATCCAAAGAAGTGACTAAATTATACATAATATTTTTTTCTAATTGATGTCTACTCGATAAAAATATTGCCAATGAATAAAATGCAAATGTAATGTATAATTACAGGCTCCAAATTTATTATACCAACTCAATTAAAAAAAAAAAACTTTTTATGATTCAATGTTTTTGTAAATACTGACTTCAATTTTAAAAAAATATTAGCATTTTAATTCTGAAGTTTTAAGACATTTTGCATTTAACAGAATGAATATACAGGCCTTCGTAGGACAAGAAACGCGCTCTGGTGACTATAGAACTGTGGTAATATTTTCAATCAAGAGTGTATACGTATAGGGGTCCAGAGTGACGACAACTTATCAATACACCTTGTATGTTTGATTTAAATTTTATCTGGTTATCATAATACAGTTCTTAACAGATAATGCTTGTAATCGTTGTATAATGCATGTTGACATAAAATTGAAAATAAATATATTTGTTTATTTTTTCCCTTCTTAAAAATTTTTTTTTAGAAAATTGCTCCTGTGAATTATATTATGTATAAACAAGAACGCACAAAAGTGCATCGGTTAGTAAGGTCATGGGAGATGTTCAAACCCCACGAACCCCCCCCTTGAGTACGCCCCTGAATACAGGTAACGCCATAATATCTTTACTAAGACCTTTGGGCTTTGGAACGACGTTGAAGCTGAACCCACTCCCGGCCTACGGCTAATACCGTCGGATAACCGCGGGAAATATATAAAAACTAGGCACAATTTCAACTTTTGGCTTGGTTGGGCTGAATATATTAAAGGCAAGCAGACCATTGCAATATAGCATATTAAAATTGTATGTCCTAGGTTTTTTTTTTGGAAAGGGGGGCTTGGCCACTAAGTTCCCCCCAATTTGCTTCTATGCATGGACCCCAAGCGAGCTTGTTACGGCCACGCTATACTCGGACAAGCCAACGTTCGGACGCCACTTGTCCCGACATTGGACTAAGTTCCCAGCCGAAATGTACAAATTATTCCTGAATTTGTACACGGATAGCACGGCCATCATCCTGTGAATAGTGGAATCGACGGACCATTCTTCCCCGTTTATTTTCCCCCTAAACGACGCACCTGCTAGAAACACCATCGGGAGAATGCATTTTAAAGTTTCTATAAACTTGCGGACTAGTTTGTATATGATTAAATTTGGCATGTGACAAACAACAGAAATAGAAAACCAGATTACATCTGACCACATCGATTTCTGTAAGAGAACAGCCGCAATCTCCCGGCTCACACTGATGTTAATAATTATAGCCTCGCTTGAAATTTTAATGAATTTCCGCTTATGTGCGATGTGCCACGGACAATCTGTTAACTGGGTGACGTAGAAGCATTTATTTTTATTCTCAAAAAACGTAATGTATAAAATATGTGACCCCGAAAAAACCAATAACGCCGTCTTCGTTTCACAAGTCAAAGTTTAATATGTACCTATTTTGCCTATATATACGCCGGGTAACACGTTGGGTTTGAGCGAAGTATTTAAAACAATTTATTATTAATCCTTATATTTCATAACAATATTATGTACCTCATATTTATTATTATTTACGGCTTTTATAGTAGTTTTTTTATACCCTAAAAACTAAATATAGGTATTAAATATTTTACTATATTTTTGATTTTAATATTAAATAGTAGGTAATATACTTTAATATAAATTGCTTGTTATCAAGACTCACAGTATAAAAACATAGGTACTATTTTCAGGACATTTCTACAAGTTATAACTGTTGTTTATTTAGGTATGTCATAACTCATAACCATAAGAGTCGAAATGATATATTTTTAAATAATTTCTAAATAGGTACGCCAGTGCTATCTACCTAATCTTATTAATTAATAGATCTATAGTTATACTTACAGAATAATTGGTTTTACCTTTTTTCGGCAGATATTATTGACCATGACCTCTACCGTTTATTTTTAAGTTCATTATTTAATTATCTGCTTTTTAGTTTTTAGTATTAACTGCTATATCCAACCCATAATCTCTGATCATCTTTCTACTACCTTTGCATTTAATTGTATTTAGTCGTTTTGGTTTGTAATTCAAAATTGACTACTGCAATTTTTAGCTGAATTATTTTGTTTTTGCTTCTTAAAATGCGTTTTCCTGCGAGCGCTCACTTTCCCCTTACTTTTTTCATTAATTTAACTCTAGCAGATTCTGTTGACTGTTATATATACTAGATTAACTTTGGTACTTCATATTTAAGACTACTAGCTGTCTACCTGGTTCTAAATTATATTATAACATCATAAATCATAATCAATTTTTTAGATTCTGAGCGGAGCAATGAATGTATTGATTTTACAATGACCTGTGTTTTGAAACAAAGTTTTTTATGGTACGAATGGTACGATGCTGGGCTAGTCAGGAAAAGACCAATCTTAAGTGGACATAATAACGAATTCAAATCTGTTTTAAAAAGTATTATTCCATTACTAGATCGATCCATCGATCAGTATGATGGAATAAAAATTGGATGTTTTGGCTAAAATAACTGTTTAATATATTATAAAAAATAGTATATCACCAGGAACGTTTTTCCCGACTAGCATCGTGTCGTAAAAAATTTCTTTTCAAAAAAAAAAATAAAAATATATTGCATATATTGATAATATAATTATTGATAATACATCACTACACTACGTATATTATGTATTTATAAGTATTTTAATTAATAAAATATATATTTAATAAGTATATAATATATATAAGAATTGTACGTAGCTAATATATTTTTTGTCACGCCTGCACCGAAAGTTTGGTATTCGACCGTGGTTAAAGCGTTGGAAAGCGACCTTTTTCCGTCCAGCGGGCCGCAAAGTGGAAATCCCCATAGTGCCCGGCGATAAAGTGGAAATCTTCAAAAGTGCTTGTAATATTCCATGCACAACCAAACACTGAAATCTATACCTCGGTCCTCACAAAACATAAACCTTATCTTATATACATATTATAATCTCCTTGCATACCACGTAAACATTTTTAGTTCATGAAATTGTTTTCGTAGAATAATCTTATTGTTGCATATAATATCCCTATATATAGCAGTCGTGCTTTACCTTTGCCGTAATTACATTTTTTTTTTGTACTTCGTGTTTGGTATAGACAAGGTAATAGAAAACGGGTATAACGCGAGGATTTGAAACAGCGTAATAAGATTTATAATTATTATAATTCATAAATAATAACACTTTGGTGACTTTAACATCAGTTTTTTAATGATAAGAAATCGGAAACTTTTAAAACTTTCTTTATTGACACATTCAATTTACATATGATAAACAATCCAGCAGAATCTACAACGAGAGATGACACCACTATCGATGCACTATTTTCAAGATATTTGGAAATAACTACATCACAAATATACTACGTATCATATTTCAGTTGTCACAGGCCTGTAATTTAGATTACTGAATTTGATTTATAAAATAGTAATTAAATAGTTATAATAATCATTTTCATTTACTTATTGATATTTACTTTTATTTTGAATGGTTAAACTAAAATGTATTTGTAATCTATAATATTTGTTGGAAAAAAAACTTCGTTTCTACCGGCTGTCCTATGACACCACTAACTTTTCTTTTTGTGTCTGTCATCAAGGTTTGGAGCAGTCAAACTGCTTCGATTTTCTTCAAAAGTATCTTGTTCGATGGAAAAATGAATCTAGCGAAAAAATTTAAAATTCCCAATAGTTTTAAAAAGCGCCAGGAAAAACAACATACAAGTTAAGGAAAAACGAGAATTTTTACGCAAAGTCGGTTTTAGAGTTTTAGACAAAATCGATTTTGGTTTTTGGTGCAACTCTAAAGTAAATGACCATAGATACATTACATTTGCACTGGTTGTATATATTAGCATTTTCTATACACTATAAATTTTTCAAAATATTTAGATTTGTTTTGAACTGTTTACGGATATATTCAGTTTCCAATTTTTTTAGTTTTTTTTTCTATAAAATATAAATATCAACAAAATTTTATTCGTTGGGTAAAAAAGCTTGAAAATTTAATACAAGGCCCTTAATAGATTGTTACAATGACGTTTGAAAAATATTAAGAATTCATAGTCACAGTTTTTTTTATATTAACAATAATAATAATCTTTATTTATTGAGGAGTATTAGTGTTTACAAAAATTGGATTACATTTTTTTAAACCATTTAAAGATAGATACAACCCAACCAGTTAATTTTGGTACTCGGTATAGGTAATCGATACGATTTAAATAAAACAATGGTCTGAAATCTATGTTATTTTGGATATAATATAGTTTTTGTACTACTATTTTTTTTAAATTTTAGCGGTTGATGAGCGTTAATGATAAACTGGATGGGTTAAATAAGGATAAGAGATTTTTAATAATTATTCTAGAAAAAGTAATATAAAATTATTACTTAGGTACCTCTAAGACTGACAACTTTAGTTGAAATAACTTACTTCAAGTTCAATTTCATAAGTAGTCGCATGTGTTGGCTTAGAATAAAATATATTTAACCATTTTTTAGTTGAACTATTTATAATTTAATCATCTCACATTGCTGCTTACTCGACTATGATCTATACAATTTGTAAATTACGTATATAAATAGATTGTGACGTACCCATACATATGCAATTACACTAAAATTGATACGAATCTCTTTCAATCAAACTATAGCAATATATTAGCTTTACTATAATTATCTACCTATATATTATTTTCTAAAAGGGTTTAAACAATGTAGTAAATTTTTTGTTTTGACCATCGAACAACCGGTCGTCCAGTACCTATTTTCACTTTCGCGCTCGCGGATTACAGGTGAAAGGTGTTCGTCATCCATGTCGGGCCTACATGCACCACCACAACCATCACGGCCACTACCATCACCATTATACGCACGTGAAGATCACGCGAGTGTAGTACGACGACGGCGGTGTTTTAGGGTGGGAGCAGAGGAACACGTGACGACCACGACGACGACGCCGACTGAGTTAGTTTGCAGAAGCGTTCGGGTGTCCGGTACGCAACCATCGAAAAGATGGCCAAAACAGCATCAGCGATGTCGACGGTAGTGGCGTTAGTGGCGATGGCGGTTACGTGTTTTTTCGTGTTAGCGGCCGGTCAAGATTCGGACGAGGCAGCGATGATGTTTTCCGAAGACACGTCTCTGGCGGCGGACGAGCTGACCGCCCGGCCGCCGTCGTCCCAGGACATGTCGGCATACACGTCGCCGGCTGGTCGCACTTTGACCGGCAAACCGCCGGCCACCAACATACAAAAAGTGTCCAGGACGGCCAAGGCGGTGGACCCGATGTCGGCCATGGTGATGATGATGGCCGCGGCGACGGGTTCGGGCACTGGAACGGCAGCAGCGGTGGACAACGACACTGCTAGTGACAGCGGACCCTACACTTCCGACCTGGAGTGGCTGTCGAACGTGTACAACCCTCACCGGTGGAACCCCGTCGAACTTCCGGCCGCGAACATGCTGTCCGTCCAGTGCCGGGACGTCATGAAGACTTACCTGGAAGCACTGCGCCGGGGATCGTTTTGGGCGGCTAAAAGTAAGTGTCGCATCAGACATCACATAATACCTATATAATGCCTATGCGAGTTATGACAATGGTACCTACTACTCGATACCATGCTCACGCCCAGACGGCTAGACCATGGTTGTTATATACCTTATACCTGTACTTATTACAATACCTTATCCGGGGATGTTCCGATGTCTGAAACTACATTACAAGTTATAGTAATATACTTACTAGTTTAGGTGATTTTTAAGAGGACGCCACACCCGCATGTGTTGTCTCCGTCTTACAAACGCGTAACATAGCAAATTACGTCCACGGAAAACAAACGAATCGGCATCAAAAAGTGGTTTTAGAGTAAAAATACCTATAATAAAACTTAAAGAGAACAATATTTTGGAGGGAACCTCATCGGCGTTTTTAAAAATATTAACTATTAAAAAAGTTGTGGTTATTTAAAAAAATTAAAAAAAAGAGTTTTTGTGCCTTCAATATCTAGCTGTGTATTTAGATTAATACAAAACCCCGATGAGGTTCCCTCCGAAATATTGTTCTCTTTAAGTTTTATTATAGGTATTTTTACTCTAAAACCACTTTTTGATGCCGATTCGTTTGTTTTCCGTGGACGTAATTTGCTATGTTACGCGTTTGTAAGACGGAGACAACACATGCGGGTGTGGCGTCCTCTTAAGATCAACAATTATTTAATATTTTGATATTTTATATATAATTTTATTACGTATAATAATATAATAATTGATACGATGGAACGTAGAAATGCAAAAATAATATAGGTAATATTATACTCGTAATAGTACGATATTTTAATTTTTAAGTACCAATAAATCATTAATTTCGGTTAGAATAAGGCCTAATATATAACTGTAAGATGTATCGCATGCGTGTATACCACGGCATGACGATCACAAACCCTTTGACCTCACTGATCGAAATGCGCAGTAAATGTATAGAATATATTAACTATTGTAATATTCATCGTTGTTGAAACTTGATGAAAACACAAATTCCGAGTTTTCAACATTAATAAAGATTCGAACAATTTGTGTAACGCCTACGTAGTGTATACTACCTATATTGTACATTTTTTGGTGTTATTATTACAACTATCCAAGTCTCATCAACGTAACAGCATATTAACACTGTAATCATGTTAATAAGTATTAAATAGGTACCTATATGTCTTGACCGTGCAACAAACGGTTCTTTTAGTTTCTTAATGTCGAATAATCATTTGACATAGGTATTATTATTAATTGTTTACACGTTTTTATATAAGTGCAACAAATTATCTTCTAAATGATTCGGCAATACAACTGCCAATTTATGAATTGCACTGTAGTAATGTATGATTCATTATGAGAAAGTTCGGACACTTATTGTCTATAACCGTATTAATTTATTTGTACAATATTGTACATTAACATAATATCTCAAGGCTCATCGGTTGGTTAAGGAAATGTTGACCGTGTTGTGCAATGTTCTGAGTCAATCGGGCCTATCTCTATTACCTACATAGAAATACCATGTTATCTAAGAAATCTACAGTGTAGGCCTTTTACTTGTTAGTCAATTTTCACGTTGTGAATAAAATTGTGATCCACACATTTTGGTCACCCCATCACTTATTAATTATTTTAATTGATCTTAATTGATAAAATACATTTCAGTTAGGTATTTAAATTAATATATACAATTTTAATCTAACTATCAATAACTTTACATTTAAAGTGAAACAAACTATAAAAAAATTATAATACAGTTTTCGTAGTAAATTGTATTGAAATACTTCAAAATTCTCCAAGTTGGAACAAATTGGTATAGTGAATGTGAATAATGATATTTTCAGATAAATATATACGGCCAGACAATATAAGTTCTTTATATAATTTACATAATAATAGGTACTTGATGTATCCAAAGTTCATATTTGGACACGATCTTTGAAGTTAATGATCACATTGACACATTGATAAACAATTTTGTTTACGTTTTAATAGCTCAATTATTTGTCATATAATCTAAACTTAACCATGCGATATAAACACATATACTTAACTATTCTCTATATACTCAATAGGTATAATATTAATACATGTAAACATTTTAAGTTATACATTTCAGTGTTCAGATGTAAAGACATTGAATACATTGAAACACATCATAAATTGATGGTGCTCCACAACCATATAATATATTATAATTTATAAGTCTTAAAATCTGTATATGTTTAGACCTCAGAAGAAAGTAAAACTATGTGAAGACAATAATGTATAAATTTATGACGCCCTGGATAAATGCGAAAAAAACCAGTCGGACCACCTTGAACGAGAAACTCTGTGTTCAATCTTACTTTCCATTGAATCTTGTGATGCCAATAATTGCGTGTCGGTATATAAAAACAAACAAAAATACAAATTTTCTAAACTTCCGATTTATGTGTGTCAACGTTGTTAACGTTGATTTAGTTTAATATTATAATAACCTTTTGTACACGTCATATAGGTATACAATTCGTATTAATTTGGTTAGATTTAAATGCCGGGTATGTCTGACTATCGAAACAAAATAATATTATTTTCTGCCAATGTGTAATTGAAAATTTCCAGAAGAAAGCTCATTATGAATGTCTTAAGTGATCAATTATTGCGTTTCATTCGGTTGTACAAATTAGAGTAGTAAATGAATGCATAGTTGAAAATATTGTTGGTTATATATAAAATGGTTACAGAAATGAAAGAAAATTTATTTCATGTTTAACGAATCAACCGTGCAGTGTTTATCGATACGAAGACAGAGAAAACGAACAAATGTATTTCCTTGTTTTAATTTATATATTTTAAATTTTTATAAACTTGTGAAGTCAAACTTTTGCTTTATTTTCATCAAATAATTTGGCTGAGTTTGAATGCGGCTCATAAAAACTTTCTAAACTGATTTCGGAAATGATTTAAGACACGACAAGAGAATTCAAACAACACTAAATGACCGTAACATATTTTTTTTATATACACGAACGAGTGTGGTTTTCTGGTGACAACTATGCCTTAAGATATGTTATTTAAACTGTGGTCATCATTTGTTTGTTTGTCTAAGATATATGTTTATATGTTTGTTTTGAATTAAGAGAAACCGCAATGTTTATTCCCTCTCCAATTTCAACAGAATGTGCTATAAAATAAAAAATAATACGCATTGCCTACTAAGGAAATATTTTAGCGATAAATAACGTACAAGGTACGTGTTATGTACTTATATTTGAATATAGTTAATAATTTGTCATAGGTATTTCACAGTAATTATTATTAATAAAATTCGATTGATTGACTTATTTAATTATACACCATTTTTGATAAAGCAATTTGAATACTTCATTAATTACATCATTCAATTTAGTTACATTATTATCAATTTAAATCATATATTATACAATTATTTAGCCAATGATGAGGAATTAGGGAAACATTTAAATGTAAATAATACATTGACTGACGAAAAACTTTGGTTTATACTTAAAAACTACTATAAATTTAAAATTATGTATGTAATACAGACACGCACCTTTCATAAGAAACAGTTTGAACAAAATCTTACTAACCATAAGTATTGTGTTCAAAATCCAGAGCAGTTTTATAATTTTGATGGAAACTATATATTATATAAACGTATATAGTGTTATATATAGTGGTACCTATTTGAAACGAATTGAAATTAAAATATTAAATATTAAAATAAAAATAGATAATAATATACCAGTGATGGCTTACAAACGTCCGAAAAACAGTTCAGTAGAAATCTATTGATTGTGTTAAATTCCAAAATCGTTGACTGCCCTACCAATTTCATTGATCTTGCAACGACCGCCTTGAGTATCATTTAAACACTCAATAGTTTTATTAACTCAGGCTGAGTATCATATATGATACTCAAGACGCAATTTGCAAGTGTAAGTAAAATATTAAGGGCAACAATTGAAAGTTTACGTGTATCACATATTACGTACATTGACACCAGTGGCGTAGCTTGGGTTTCAGCTTAGCGTATGCGTTGAAATAATAAGTTAATGGAATCGTGGGGGCCATGCCCCTCACACCCCCTATACTCTTTTTAAAATTTTACTTTAAACATACAAAGTTTTACGTATTCATTAATATATATTACATTACCTAGAACATAACAAAATATTATATTTAATAAATAAAAAGTAAATCACTTTTTAAAAATTAATCCACGTTAAAACTTATAATAGACTGTCAACGATATGGTATGCAATACTGATCCCGCATACACGAGTGACGAATACACGACCACAAGAGTTCTAAGTTTTGTTATTGATATTATCGATAAAAACTATAAATAACTGCAGTAGCTGAAAGTCTGTACCCATATGCAATCGCCTACTTGCATACCGCTTACATAATAATCAAGGTGCTATGGGTACTAGCCACTAGATATAAGGACTATAGAGCGTTGCGGCCGTGGTGTTACGGATTAATCAATCCTAATGAATAATGATTAATGCACTTGGAAGAAAATCCACAAAATATTATATTACGAAGCACTAAATTAGTACAATGAAATTGAAAACATTTTTATAAAAATATAGAATTATTAATATATAAAAAAATATTTTTTTATTTTGTGAAGTGTATGCTATGCATAACAGCATACGCATATGCTACTCCACTGATTGACACATAATGCAGTCAATTTGTTAAATCTCTCGAACAGTAAAACAACCTTACTTACGCATGGTGTAATTCGTCACCCATGTAAGAACATTTTATGTTTATAAGTTTATAATCATTAATCTCCGAACTTCGTAAAGTCATAAGGAACTTTTTCACTGCCCGACTAGGAGGTTTATCAGGTTTACCAGGTACAATTTAAATTATTTTGATTTCTTTGGCGCTGAATATGATGTACTCTTAGCCTGGCGGCCATACACAAATAAAAAAGTATTTAATATTCATATTATAAAGTATGCACACACAGACCAAGTCCCGAACATA